CAAATCGCGGCCACACATGTGCGTGCTGCGGCCGGGCACCCTCCCCTGCCCTGGCTCCCCCAGGCACTGCCCTGGCTGGGGCTCAGCTCTGCTGCTGCTCCAGGTTGCTCTCTGCCCTTGAGCTGCAGGGTCCTGGGGCAGCTCCTGCCCCACAGGTTTGTGTTAGTGCTGGGATGAAGCCTGGGAAGGACGAACCCTGAGGTCTGCTGGGCTGAGGGGAGAGAGATGGAGCTGCCCCCCATCCTTACCCCCACCCTTACACTCTCCTGCTGCCCTTCCAGTGATGGTGAGCCTGGCGAGCGAGTCGGCCTCTGAGCCCATCACCATCAGCGGCGGCGGCCTCCCCCGCACGCACCCGCGGAGGCCTCCCCGGCACGTACCGTGCACTGCAGCTCCACTTCCACTGGGGCAGCCTGGCTGGGAACGGTTCCGAGCACACCCTCGATGGGCGCCAACTCCCCATGGAGGTAGGCAAGAAAAAGCACCCACCAGGCTCTCTGGGTGGCCCAAGTCCTTGGTGTGATGGGTAGGTGTGATGCTGGTGCATCCCAAGGCTGCCACCCAGCAGGGTGACTGGGCTTGGTGACACTGCACCGGTGGGTTCGGCCGTGCTCCCCGTCACTGCAGGCTTGCGCTGATGGTGCGATACGGACAGCCACTGCACAGGGCACCTGGGTGGTTAAAAAGCAGCTGACATGAGACTCAAGGTTTGTCTTTACTGTGCATGGTCCAAGCCGCCTTGTCAGAGGCACTTAGCAGGGTTTGGAGGGCTCTGCGCCCCGCCAGGACTGCACGCTGAGTCAGTGAATGCAAGCAAGAGCGCGCAGGAGCATGCTGTGCCAAGCGTGTCGAGATCCTTCTGGGTGAAAGAGGCTCTGCGCCTCTAAAATATTAATTATCTGCCAGAGGAGAGTAAAATTTATGTATTGCGGTTGGAGGGTGCCCTGGGACTGCTGGCTCCCTTTCCCCGCCCCCTTCAAAGGATGCTTGCTTCATTGGGGTGCTTTGATCCTCTGAGCGGCTGCCCTGCGGAAGCACCCATGGGACAAGGAGGGTGGTTGGAGGGCCTGGGGGGTGGTTGGCTCAGCGTCCGGCAGCCCCAGGCTGGCCAGGGAGATCCATGGACGAGTGCCCCACTGCCAGGGTTTCGGCTGGGGGCAGTTGCCCACACTTGACCCCTTCGTGCTTTCCCCAGCTGCACATTGTCCACATCAACGTCAAGTACCGGACACTGGCGGAGGCCAAGGGGCATCCCAATGGGCTGGCCGTCCTTGGCTTCTTCTTCCAGGTGGGTCTGCAGGGCCTCATGCTGCTGGTGGGAGGGGACCCCCCGGGTACAGGCTGCTCGCGGTGCAGCTGGTGGAGCATTGTACGGCTGCTCTGAGGGAGCGAGAAGGGGCAGGAAGGCTGGGTCAAGGCCAGGAGGTGCTGAGGAACCTCAGTGGTGAAAGGTGCCATGACCCGCCCCCCGCCGGCTTCGTGCAAGGGGGTGCCAGCTGGGAGCTCACCCATCCCCACCCCTGCTCTGTGGCGATGGGGGGCCGGGGCTGGCTCTGCCTGCAGATGCTTGACGGTGCAGGATGACCCGGCTCTGCCCTGCCCCAGCTGCTTACTCTCCCCTTCCGCAGGTCTCCGAAACCCCTAACACCAACTACAACACCATCGTGGCAGGGCTGAGGAACGTCTCCCACGCTGGTGAGTCGCCTCCTCATTGGGGCAGGGGCAGAAAGGGGAGAGACCCCAGTGCAGGAGGGCAGGGGTGCACCCTGGGGGGGACCTGCCAGTCCGTGGGGCTGTCTGGCTGAAGAGAAACTGCTGGGGGTGGCCCTGCTGTCCTCACCGTGCCCCCGGCACAGGATGGGCTGAGTGCCCGTGTCTCACCCTGCAGGGGACTCAGTGGATTTGGCCTCCACCTTCCGCCTGAGCACCCTGCTGCCACGCGCCGGCCGGCTCTCCAGGTACTACCGCTACCAGGGGTCCCTCACCACCCCTGACTGCAGTGAGGTTGTTGTCTGGACTGTCTTCGAGGAGCCGGTGGAGATCGGCCAGGAGCAGGTACCGGTGTGTGCAGCCCCACGCTCCAGCGCCCAAAGGGCTGGAGCCCCCGGGCAGCCCTCTCCTTGCTCTCCCTGACCCCTAAGCAAGAGCACAGGGAAAGTCATCTCTACAATAATGCTCCCAGCAACCTGGCAATTAATTAATTTTATGAGGGTTAAGTAACAGAGCCATGGCCACCTGCCAGTGGGGAGAAGTCCTGCACATAGAGCTCTCCCACCCAGCCCCGGTATTCAGGAAGTGAAATGGGAGTGAACCATTGGAGCTCAGAAGATGCTCCAAGGAGGTGGCAGGGAGGGCGGCTGCCTGGCTGGCTGGTGTGAGTTCTCCTCTGCTGCCCAAGCATCTTAGTAGACGTATTTCCTTGAGGGTGTCGTGGGCCAGCTGCTCTTTAAGTGCTCAGCACAGGCAGTGAAACACAATTAGCTCCTTTAAAACTCAAGAGCTGATCCTTGCAAGGCCCTGGCTCGTGTACTTACCTTTCGTGTCTGGTTTTGGGAGAGCGGTGAGTGGTGGTCAGAGGACGCCCACCAGCACGGGGCCATGCCATGGGTTCTGTGCCATTGGCAGCGGGGCAGCACAAAAGGGGGCTTGCAAGCAGGTGGGGTTCAGGGAGCCCGGCGAAGCAGCTGCCCACCCTACCTCTCCCCCTGCACAGCTGCAGGCATTCGTCAGCACCCTCCATTTCCCAGCCACTGGCTCCACGCTCCTAAAAATGACCAACAACTTCCGCCCACCGCAGCCGCTCCGCAGCCGGAAGATCTTTGCCTCCAGGGCAGCCACAGCCAGTGGTGGGTCTCCTCATGGGGGCCACCACCAGCTCCTCTCCCCCCTGCTCCTCCTGGCCCTGCTCGGCCCCTTCTCGCCAACCCCATAGGGTCTGGCCCAGCCTTTCACCAGTCTTCACACGAGCATCACCCTGCTGCAATGGTGACAGGGCAGCAACACATCTGGTTCATGGGTAAATGGGAAAAAAATAACAAAAAAGCACGTTGAGACCTCAGCTGGGCAAAGATTTTGCAAACCTGGATGTCTGCAGAGGTGAATCTCCACAAGTCCGGAGCCTCCCTGTGATGCCCCTGTAGCCAGGTGGTGGGAGTCACCAGGAGGGGATGCTGGAGGTGCTGGAATAAAGTCGAGGTCCTTGCTGGTGGCTGTGGGTCGCTGCCTCTTTGGCTCTGTGTCCCTTCGGTGTTGCTGAGGTGGGGTGCTTGGCATGGGGGAGGGGAGGGAGCTGGGGGTGTGGGTCGCTGCCTCTTTGGCTCTGTGTCCCTTCGGTGTTGCTGAGGTGGGGTGCTTGGCATGGGGGAGGGGAGGGAGCTGGGGGATGGTGTCTGGGTGGCACTCGGGGACGCTGACCCTGTGTAGGGCTCTGCAGGTGGGTATGAGACTCCCCCTCTCATCCCTGAGCAATAAATACTCAGGGCCAAATCCTGGCCCTGTGGGTGGCTCAGGGTCCTTGCAGACCCTGTACTTCCTCAGGGTCAGGGCTGGCTGACGGAGGGATGGGGCTGTCCTCGGGGACACAGGACCCCCTCAGTGTCCTGGGGCAGGACTGTTGTGGTTTAACCCCAGTCGGCAGCCAAGCACCACACAGCCACTTGCTCAGCCTCCCCCCAGGTGGGATGGGGGAGAGAATCAGAAGGGCAAAAGTAAGAAAACTCGTGGGTTGAGATAAGAACAGTTTAATAATTGAAAGAAAATAACAACAACAATAATAAAAAATTGTAATGAAAAGGTAAACAACAAAAAAGAAAGAGAGGAACAAAACCCAGCAAAAACAAATGATGCAACCACTCACCACCTGCTGAGCGATGCCCAGCCAGCCCCTGAGCCGCAATCACTGCTCCCCAGCCAACCCCCCGCCCAGTGTATATACTGAACATGATGTCATATGGTATGGAATAGCCCTTTGGCCAGTTCGGGTCAGCTCTCCTGGCTTTGCTCCCTCCCAGATTCTTGTGCACCTCCTTGCTGGCAGAGCATGGGAAGCTGAAAAGTCCTTGACTTAGTATAAACACTGCTTAGCAACAACTAAAACATCAGTGTGTTATCACATTATTCTCATGCTACATCCAAAACACAACACTATGCCAGCTACTAGGAAGAAAATTAACTCTATCCCAGCTGAAACCAGGACAAGGATGCAGGGAACCGATGGCTCTTTCCAGGGAGCTAATGTTACGCTGGCAAAAATAGCTGCAGCTGCCAGCGCTGCTCCTGCGTTGCCTGGTAGGGCAGGGGCAGAGCCAGGGCCCGGGAGAATGGGGTGGTTCATAATTAATGTGCTGAAGCTCGAGGCGTGTTCCCGTCTCCTCCTGAATTATGGGTGTAAGAGCACAGGTTGTTATCTGGGAGCAGAGTGTGGCAGGGTGGGGGTTTTTTCTTTTCTT